TAAAAACTTCAGACTAGGTTAAAGAGAATTAAAAGAAATATTTTAATCTTGCAAGCGCTTTCAATGTAAATATATATAGTACTGTACGTCGTTTTCAGGCAATTCAAAATTCTCTTTAACGCATCCTAGTCTGAAGTTTTTAATTGAATAATGAAANCAATATATTCTTAATTTCAGATAGTGATTGTTATTATTTTTATACAAATTATTTTATTTATCACAAAATATAAAAGTAATTAGAAAAATTTTAAATCCAATTAAGAAGAAAGTTTTCCCAAAGTATAGCTGCAAAAGTAATAAATGAAAGACGTATATATGTGTTTTTAATTGATAAACACCTCATCACCTAAAACAGAGGAAAGAGGAAGGAAAAAAAAAATCTATTATTAATCATGATAACACAGCTTCTGAACTTGTGGATCTAATTTTTTACAGCTCACAAGTTTTTATTTCAATATTTGTATCAGAAATATTTGTAAACACTTAAGTAATATTACAGAAATGTTAAACTTATTTTATTTTTTTTGTAAGGTATATAAAAACTAGGTTTACATAACAAAAAAGTAAACATGTGGCAACTAAACAGAAACATATACTTTGACCTAGCATCTGATGTACTGTATCTTACACTAAATATATGTAAATATATATCATAGACAAAGATATATTTAAGTTTAAAGAATATTCTTTAATCGACCTACCCTTTATATCACTGAATATGATATGAGTTGATATTAACAATACTGAATCTGTATCAAACTTAACTGATTTCGCCAAATTTCATTTTGTTAACATGTGTTATTAATTATACGTGCGGAAGCAAGGCACAATTTTCGACACAAAGGTGCTAAACATTATGTACTTTAAAATATTAAAATAATCTCAAATTTAATGTGTTGATATTCTCGATACTTCAAACCATGTAAGGTCATTACATCCTAAAAACCACGACTTAAAATTCCGTTTCGTACTTTTGTTTATGTCCGCAACTAATTAGTGGCGCTGTAGCGAAATTTTTATATATTTTTATATTTTTTTTGGTTTTTGGTTTTAAATCATCAAATAAAATATTAATATTTATATTAGAGAAAAAATTATATATAAATTAGAAATTAATAATAAAATCTTCATATAAAGATTTATAACTAACAAATCTGTTTGGCGTTATTTATCTTTTGCAGCTAAATCTCCGGATGGCCGAGCGGTCAAGGTGGCAGCCCATCGTTCTGGGAGACCCGGAATCGAATCCGAACGGTTCGAAAAATTCCCAGGAATTTTTTGGGGTGGTCCGTCCGTATATGTCGGGTCCCGTTCCTCGCCACCCGGCTGCCCCATTGTCGGCCTGGCCGAAACCATGCTTGTTATAAGAGGCTTTTTTTGTGCTCACGGGGCGGAAAGAGTTTTAAAAAAAGCTAAACCCTATTTTTCAGCAAATGTAAAATAATTGTAGAAATTACTTTTAAATAGAAATGGTAATCAGCAGAGCAGTAACTAGCCATTCCTGTGCCCTGTGCAAGAATTTGCATTTAGGCCCCTTAATTTATTTGGTTTTGGGAAAATAATAAAACAAATATATTACAATAGATTTTAAATAAGATTTATTTTAATTGAATTTTTCTGGCTTTCATTTCAGCAAATTCATTAATTACACCNAAACATATTGGAAAATTGAAGACTTTGTTTGTGGCATGCATTGTTTGTAACTCCATATCAACCAATTACGCAAACTGCAAAATCAAAACTCAAAGTTGACGAATGGATACAAAACTTTAAAATCCAAAAATTGTCATATGCTGAGCAATGATGTATAGCCTGAACTAGTTGCAATGTTCGTAACTAAATTGGTAACCTTCCAAGTATGTATCCAGGAGTTCATGGATTGCTTGCCCGATTCTGGTGGGCAAATTAGCTTTGTCTTGTTCAGATTTTGTATGTTTTAGGGACAAAAAACTAGATTTTACTACTTTACTACAGAGCTTTTACTGAGAATGTCCTATTCTTGTATACACAAAGGAAGGAAGGTTCAGTCACAAAAGAGGGTTCTATTTTATACTTGGAACCAGCACCATTTGTGGGAAATACCCATAACACAAATAGCAGAATTAAAAAATATTAAAATTACATAGATCACAATAGTAATAATAGCAACAACAACAATAATTATTATTATTCCATTTTTTCTTTCTTAACATGTATAACATGGATCTCTCTTGTTTGTGTGTTTTCGCATAGGCAAAGTCGTGAGACCACCAGTGAGGCTATTGTCAGCTTCAACATTCTTGCTAGATGACTGTGTGTGAACCTACGAACTCTTGCTTGGACTTGGTCTATGAAGTCACTTCCTACTGCATCAAATTCTGTCTTGTCGTTACTGTCACATTCTGCAATCTTTGTCTTCACATTGTCTTGTCTAAGAGTGCGGAAGTGGAACTAAAATTTTGAATTTAACAAGTAGAATAATAATAATGAAATAAGTGTATTAAATACTTGGCTTAGATGTCACGCCAACAGTTAACTCAATTAAAAACTTCAGACTAGGTTAAAGAGAATTAAAAGAAATATTTTAATCTTGCAAGCGCTTTCAATGTAAATATATATAGTACTGTACGTCGTTTTCAGGCAATTCAAAATTCTCTTTAACGCATCCTAGTCTGAAGTTTTTAATTGAATAATGAAATAGAATACACAAATTAAATATTAATTATTTTTAAATATTTAATTTGTATGTTCTATTTTACTTCTAGCAGAAAAGAATATTTATTTACTTCATTAGTATTCATGATGATGGAAATCTCAAGCAAGATTTAAAATTCTAGAAATCATGAAAGTTGACAAATGCTGTAAATCTTACACTAAAAAGTTTTTTTAATATTTAATTCAAATAATAGTTTACTTAAAGTTCCACTTTCATTCCGAAATTCGGTTAACTTTATGATAAGTATAAATATTATATCAAAATAATATCATTTATGTTAATTGTTCCTGGCACCTTCCAAAGAAAAAAAATTTTTTTCTAATTAGAATTTTTTTCATATTTATAATGTGTTTTGTGTTCTATTTCTATACTACTTATGAATTAGCAGTCACATAAGGTAGGAATTTTATTGAATTCATATTAAAATTTTTTTTATCTGTTTAACTCAGCTCCCTCGAGATTAAATCCTGCCACTGCTCAACATATCCACAATCTAATGCAGGCATGGCCCATATACAGTTTATGATTAATCTTTCAATATTAGCTACTCAAGTCTGAATAGCTCTATGAAAAATTCTGACACCTAAGGAAGAAAAAAGGTCAACAACTCACTGTGCGTTTAGAATTAACGCTCCATTACAAATCTCTTAAGTACAGTGTAGAATATTGATAATGCATGATAATGTGAAAAATGTATCTGTAATCTCTATGTACAATTTAGTCTCTACGGGGTGACACCACAATGAGATCTCGCACCACCTCAAAATCTTCCTAGGGCAGCCTCTGGTTTGGCCCGTGAAAAAAGTTCTCTTTCCAATTCGGCCTGGGGGCAAAAACCATTGGCCACCCCTGGTACAATGAATAAAATGTGCATTAGTGATTGCACTAATGAAATCATTAGTGAATATCGGAACATATTTTAGTACATTGCAGTTCACTGATGAGCTGTTTGATGCATCCTGGAATGTATCATATCATGTCTTGTTTAATGATAAAAATCATTGTCAGTTGAGTTATCATTTGGAGTTATTTAGCCTAATTATTTTATTAGTCAGCTTTGTTATTAATTATCAAAGTTGTGAATTTGTGCTCTCCAAAACCAATATTCGAATATATCAATGAGCAAATATCTTTTTCCATCATTGATGTTTGTTAATAATAATCATCTTTGGATATGCAATGCCAAAAATTTCTACTCATCATTGTTATAGCCAAGGGATTCTGACTAGATCAGTTAAATCACATAGTAAAGCTTTGTACCAGTGACCAATCAAACAAGTACATTCATGGACATCTGTAGAGAGAGCAAATGGAGCAATGGCCCCTGGAATTAGAATCCCACTTACTATAATTAAATGTGATTGAGATATTTAATCTTACATCTTTGACCATGAGATACTATCTTTGTCTTTTTGTGTTGATGCAATACTGCTGTCTATAATCTACTTGTGAAAAAATCCAAAGAAATTAAATAATTAAATATAAATTTATTGATGTAATTATCTGTTCAAGCTTTGTTCCTCTGAAAAATTTTCTATAAATGTCCATGAGTACATGCATCAATTATCTGAGCTTTTATTAAATTCTTGTATTGAACAAGATTACAGGCAATATTGCCACAAGTAATCATCAGTAAAGTAAAACTATCAAACTAATTTAATATTATTTTCTTAAAAATTTATTTGCATGCAAAATTTAAAATAAATTCTAAAATTAAGAATTATTGCTTAAAAGCAAGATGACAGTTATTATTGCCTTATTGTCCTTATTCCAATTCTTATTATATTTGTCAATTTGGACTTAAATTATTAATAGGACTGTTAATAACTTAAGTCCAAGTTGACAAATATAATAACAAGATGACAGTTATTTAAAAATTTAACAAACACATGTAAATAAAAATGACTTTTTCAATAAATTCTGATTTATTTGAAGGAATTATTATACTTTTATCTATTTAAATTACAACATAAAAATTGTTTTATCATAAAAGATAATAAAATATATAAATACAGTTGTTTATAATATAATGATATAACAAATATTTAAATAAGCTTCATCAATTAATCTCGGAACACATCAAATCTTACATTAACTAATTCATCATATTTTATACAGAGTTTATTATTGCTATTTTCAAATTTATAATTTAAAATAAATAAAAAATAAACTTACTATGTACAATTTAATATTAGCATTATTAATATTCACTATATTTATCTTTATAATGTAGAGAGAATTATACAGAATTTTCTAAAATACATTTAATAATAACTAAATTTAAAATATTGAATATTGGGTAAAATGTTTACATAAATTTTAAATTTTGATTTTAATTAAGGAAATAATAAAATAAATTAGCAAAGATTAACTTCTAAGTCTTACAAATTGTATAATTTTTATTGTAGAATATATATATATACAATCATCTATATAAGCATAATTCAGTTCAAAATAATTTACAATTGTTTTGTGATCAATATATATATATATTAGTATGTATGTATACATAAAATAATCAATGGCAAATTTTGTGCAAATTTTGCTTCTGTATGGAAGAATTTATTGATTTATCATAATTATCATATCAACTTTAAGATGGTCATCTTTTCTGCTGTGTTGAATTCTGTTGATTAACAAGCTTCTCGTTTTGATTTGACATTTCAGATGTATGAGGTGAAGAGGAATGTAGTTTTCTAAAAATATCAGGAAACTGATTTTTTGGAAAAAGTGTTTCTATAATTCCTTCTAATAGAACATATACTAAGCGTCGATTCAATTCAGGATGTTGAAACATTTCAAAAACACACAATACTCCTTTACGTGTTGTACTAGTTCCAATGACATGTTTCAGCTCATCTAAAAGAAATTTATTTTCAAAGTCATTGTTTAACTAATAAATATTTAAGACATAGTAAAGTTATGATAGACTTAAGTTAAAAATTAAATGGCACTACTACAGCCTATGGTGTTCCTGCCGAAATCTGCAATTGGATTAAAATTTTTTTGATGGGGTAAGTCCTAGCCCAAATTACCCTTACACCAGATTTCAAAGTTGAACTCGTGTGCTGCAGTGCAAAAATTCAAAAACTTTCTGCTGTTTTTCCTGGATATCACAGAAAAAACCTTTGCAAAATTTGATCAAATAAAAGCTGTGGTACAACTACAAAAGGGTTATATCCATTATCTTTTTTTTTACAGATTTTTACATGCATGTTTACTATGTGAAACAATCAAAACAATAATTGTTTGAATTTTTGTGCACCCTAGTGGAGCTTATTACAAGCTAAAAAAATATAATGTCTGATCTGTCTGTAAAGTTTATCTTGATGGTTAGTGTTTAACTTAAATGACTGCAGTTTTAAACAGTATGAGTTTCAATGGTAATGTCATATCCTATGGTAAACTGAAAATATTTTCTTGTTAATTTTTATCAGTATCTTACCATAATGATAAATCAATGAAACTTTGCAGACATAGATCAGACATTGTACTCTCAGATAGTATATTTTTCAGCTTGTAACAGGTTACACTAAAACACAGAAAAAAGGGGGGATATAATAACCCTTATGTAGCTGTACTATGTAATTTCTATTTGATCAAAATTGGCAAAGGCTTTTCTGAGATGTCCAGGAAAAACTGTAGAAAGTTTTTGAATTTTTGCACTGCAGCATACACGAGTTCAACATTAAAATCTGGTGTAAAGGTAATTTGGGCTAGAACTGACCACATCAAAAAAAATTTTAGTCCAATTGCAGATTTAGGCAGGAACATCACAGGTCACAGTAATGTCTTATCATAATTATAGCTTAAAATTTTAAACTTGAATAAATAATAATAGAAAAACAAGAGATTTCTAAAATTTTAATTCAGACATCCTGCTGGATATTATAGATATTATTCATACAAAAACTAAATTGATATTTATTGCAACTCTATAATTCAAACAAACAGTTGGATTCTTTTTTCAAACCATAAAAGATAATAATTATTAAGCAATTTGGCAGGAGGCAGATTGCCAGCAAGGTCTTAGAATATAAGGTTGCCTCGTACAGCCGATTAAGCCACTTCCTGCCAGATTCTGGATATACGTCATCTGTAGTCGAGCCCAAGGTCTAGCGACTGCTTCACTACTGTAAGCGAGGGAAGGAAATTTGGAATTTAACTATTTTTTTTAATTTGTTGAGCGGTTTTAGACTCATAATCTTCGAAGGTAAATATATCTATACTTATTGCTATTATTAAACATAATTATGTTGATAATTATATCGATAAAAATTGTTCGGAAGTAACAAAAGTGTTCCTAGAACAGTTTGATATTCTGTTGTAGTCTTTACTCTTCGTTCTGTAGAAATTACAGAATATGGTTACGGATAAAATATATTTATTAATAAAATACTTTAAAATACTAAGAATAGTTTTCTGCATGTATAAAAATAGTATCTGCTCAATGAAATGACGACTACAAATAATAAGCTGGCCCGTAACAGAATGGTAACACTTTTAAGATAACTTGAGATGTAAAAGAATATTGTTTATTATTAATTAATATAACTTTTTAAAATATGCATATTTACGCAAATACCTAAATTTTATTATTTTTAGATGCCAGGAGCAACGTGTGCTGTTGCAAATTGTGATAACAGCCATTGTAAAACAAAGTCATTAGACAGGAAAGTCAGTTATTTTAGATTTCCTAAAGATCCAATAATAAGAAGAAAATGGATCCATAACTGTAAAAGAAAAGACAAATTTAATCCTGATTCTTGTCATGTTTGCTCTGATCATTTCACAGAAAATGATTTTGAGAGAAATTTAAAAGCTGAATTATTAGGTTTATTGACAAGACCTAAACTAAAGAAAACTTCAATACCAACAGTAAATTTAGGAAACATAGAAAATAAAAATATTAAGCAGTCAAATGAAAGAAAGAATCGTGTATTAAAAAGAAATAGAAAAAATCTGATAGAAAAACTCTTAGATGTAAATAAACAGGATAAAGGAGAGGAATCTCTTAACAAATGTAACAATTGTAAAACTTTAGAAGATCTTAATTTTAAATTAAAACATGAAAATTCTATTTTAAATATGAAGATTAAACATATTGAGATAAGAATGCAAGCAATCCAAAGAGATCTGAAATTTTGGAAAAGTAAAACTGTCATCCTTCAAAAAGAACATGAAAAATTGAAAAAAATAAATGAAAAAAATAAAAAAGATTTTGTTATATCAATATTGAAAGGTACCTTTACAGAAACACAAATATATAATCTGCTGGAGAGAAAAAAGAAAATTAAATGGAAGAAAGAAGATATGAATTTGGCATTTACTTTGAGATATTTAAGCATAAGATCATATTTATACTTAAGAAATCAAATGAATATCCCGTTACCTGCAGTTTCGACACTTCAACGATGGGCTTCAAAAATAAATCTTTGTCAAGGCATATTAAATGATGTTATAAACATCATGAAAATTAAAGGCTTTGAACTTTCAGAAGAAGAAAAACTTACAGTTCTTCAGTTTGATGAGATGAAGGTAAATACTGTATATACTGTACTCATATTGATAAAACCACATAATTCAATAATTATTTTAATTTTCTGTTTTAACATTTTACTGATATTTCAGGTAAAGCATATATATGAATATGATAAAGTGAGGGATAAAGTTATTGGACCCAATAATCAAGTTTTAGTAATGATGGCAAGAGGACTATTTGCATCATGGAAACAACCAGTTTACATGGATTTTGATGTTAAAATGAAAAAACAACTTTTATTTACTGTTATTTCAAAACTTTTTGATGCAGGATATACTGTTGTTGCTGTTGTTAGTGACTGCGGTGGACAAAATATAGGATTATGGAAGGAATTAGGGATAAATATATTCAATACTAAATTTATACATCCATCTAATGGAAATAATATATACTATTTTCCAGATGCACCTCATTTGTTAAAACTCATTAGAAATTGGTTTTTAGATACAGGTTTTCTAACTTCAGATCATACATTAATAAACAAAGACTCATTACAACAGTTACTTCAAATAGATTCCAATGAAATAAAAGTTTGCCATAAATTAAAAGAAGAGCATATTACATGTCAGAAATTTCAACGACAAAATGTTAGGTTAGCTTGTGAATTATTTTCTAATTCTACAGCTATTGCTATTAAAAGATATATTAAAACTGAAAATGCCTTAGCAGCTTCTGAATTTATATCATCAATTAATGCATGGTTTGATGTTATGAATAGTTCAACACCCAATTTTCATTACAAAATTGATTATCCCTCCAAATGTGCTTATGGCATTAACATAACAGAACAAAATAATATACTTGATAATACTTACAGAATAATTTAAAGTATGAGATGTGTATCTAAAAAACCACTTCAAACATTTCAAAAAGGAATGCTTATATCTATTAAAGATTTATTTTTCGACCTTAGTTCAAAATTTCCTAAATACCATTATATCTTAACATGTAAAGTAAATCAAGATTCTTTAGAAAATCTATTTTCACAGATTCGAACTAGAGGTGGTTTAAATGATCATCCTAGTCTACTTAAATATATAGAGTAAGAATGATAATTTTAGGCAAACAGAGTTCTTATATCTTGAGTTGATTAAAATATAATCAATTAAAGATTTTATTTCCTTGCTTCTTAGACCTGGTGTTCTCCATTTGCAGTCTTCTTTCATGATGTTTGTACCTTGTGTTGGTCACCATTAAGTTGTTTTTCTTACAGAAGTCAGTTAATGTATTTCCTCCTTCATTTCAATTTCTCAATCTCACAGTACTATTATGTTCATGTCTCTTCATCTACCAATTTTGGTCTATTTGATAGCAGACTTCTGTATTTTCATCTGCGTGCTCTGTAGTAGGTAGGTTGTAAACAAGTCTCTTGGTTTGGCTTTCAGTTTCATAACAATAACTCTATTGGATACCTGCCAATATCTACAGTATCTACCACTTCTGCAGTACTTATTTGATATCATGCATACTACTTCTTTGGTAAACAAACATAATCACTAAACCTGATATACTCTAAAGCTATACACCAACCAATGCAGAGTATTTTTTTACACTTCTTTGGTAATATTCTCCACCTGAGTAAATGAATCTGTATCCATTTTCTGTTCTTATGCCTCCTTTCCTGTCCATCTTATTTCAGATTCCCAAGATTGAAATATACAAATTTTTCATTTCATTGATTACATTGGTTAATTTTCTTGTTCATTAGAGGGATTTCACATTCCAAGTGCCAATTATTTTTCTTCCCTTAAGGGCTATTTTGCTAGAGGACTTCTGTGTATCTGCCCCAAAACATCCAATTGGATTTGTTCCAGAAATTTCATGTGAAATCTTGGTTTCCAAACATTCCAGCCCAGCTCCATAGCACCTATTCCTGCATAAGGACAGACCCATTGACCCATCTGTGCATGTGCCTAATTTTCTCTGCTTTGATTTTGGTTCATCAAATCTTGAAAAAGTTAGTTAAACATGGTGATTTTCTAAGTTATTGTTTTCCATGTTTATTATTATTATTTAGATACACAATTTGAGTATGTTGCAAAATGATTTTAAAAAATGTTGGAATTAGGCTTCAAAGGCAGTTGGATGGAGTCCATAATATCATAACACAATCATTTGTGAAAATATTAGTTTTATACTAAACCAAATGATCACCATAATTAATTGAGTGATTTTTTGGTTTAGTATCAATGCATCAGATTTCAGGATGCCTATTATATATTAGTTTTATACATGTGTTAGGTAAAGTCAGGATCCAGCTTAACAATCCCAGTAGATTTTGGTAGGATAAAATAAAACTACACTTGCAAAAGAAGGAAAAAAATTATTTCATTTTAAAATGAATTAAAGCTGACTTAAATGAATAATTAGAGATAAAAATGTGAGAATATTATAAATAACTTTTTAATTGTAATATAAAAATAATTGGATTTTAATCACTATGGAAAATAGGAATTCAGAAAATTGATGACAAATTATCATCCTACAAGTAAATGTTAATAGATAAAACTTAATTAACTACATTAATCAAAGGACACCTGTACAAATTCTTCTTGTAGCATGAGAGATAAAAACAATTGTCTCTAGGTACAAATAAAAAAATTTTTATAGCTTAAAGAGTTAAGACTAATTTGAAACATTCAGAGATTTTAATGAAAAATATAAATATGATAATAAAAAACATGTTTTCTAAGGCAGTGATTCTCAACCTTTTTTCATCACGGTACACTTTTAATAATTTAAAAATTTGGCGGAACACACGGTTACTTCGGTAAGTACTGCAGGACAACCAGTGACATCATAACAGTGATTTTTAAATGCAGTTGGTTATTTACGTGACATTTTCTAAACATCTTAGTAACTACTGGCAGTTACCGGTAACACCAGTTACAATTTCCAAACATGCCTTAGGAAGGTAGAACCGATTAAACTACTTGTCTGATGTCGCTTATGTATGCAATGGCGGCACACTAAAGTGCCGCGGCACAGTGGTTGAGAATCACTGTTCTAAGGAACAAAACTAGTATTTCTGTCTTCAATATTGAAAAGATATTTGCAGGATTTTAGAAAACTGATATCATGAACATCACTACAATTTAATGAAGCTAATGTGCAAATGAATTTATTTTGTTCTTTTAATTATAATTTTAAAATATTTAAATATATATGAATGTTCTCATTGTTCTGTTCTGAAACTTTAATGATATAAAAACTGTACACCTATAGATTAGTTATATGCAATTGAATCTCCAACAGTCACTTCAGACAAGGACAATTTTTTGAAATTTTTTTAAACAAAAATGTATACAAAATAATCTCCAAACAATGGCCGTCTTTTATTTTTCTGTCAGTGACCACTGTTTGGAAATATGACTATATAAAATAAATTACAAACGCAAGTATAAAGTAATGTATTTTATAAAAAATAAAAACCACTAAAGACATAAAACGTATTTTAAAATTTATAAAAGGAAATAATTCTTTTTTAAATATCGTTAAACAAGAATACTTGAAAATTACAACTTTGATCTTTACTTATAGGCTATACCAGGGGTCGGCAACCTTTCAGCAGTGTTGTGCTGAATGTAAGTT